ATGTCAGGGAATTGGACTGTGAGTTAGGCCTAATGGTTCAATCAGTCATCAGGATGCTTCCTTAACAATGTGCAGAGTGGCTGCCCAGGTGCTGAGGGTGTGCGTACCCGTCACCTCGGGCTACAAGCTGGATGTTAAACAAGACAAGGAAAGGCGCAAATCCTTCAAGGCAGGTTAGTGTTTCTTTTTCCTTTCACAAATGACTCATTTGTGATAACTCCCCTCTGGGGAAGCACTGAAACTTGGCCTGGCTGCACCCGAGGCCACAGCTCCAGCTCGTAGTGGAGTGGCAGGAGGTGGCGGGGGCAGGCGGCAGATGGTGCCGGCAGGCACTGAAACATTGATGGGTTGGAAGGGACCTCTGGAGATCATCCTATCCAAATTCACTGTCAAGGCAGGATCACCTACAGCAGGTTACATAGGATCGCATCCAGGTGGGTTTTGAATGTCTCCAGAGAGGGAGAGTCTTTTACTTCCCTGGGCAGCCTGTTCCAGTGCTCTGCCACCCTCAGTGGCAGAAGTTTTTCCTCATGTTACAGTGGAACTTCTTCTGTCTTAGTTTATGGCCATTGCTCCTCATCCTGTTGTTGGGTACCACTGAAAAGAGTCTGGCACCAGCCTCTTGATACCTGTCTTTCAGATATTTATATGCATTAATGAGATCCTCTCTCAGTCTTCTCTTTTCCAGACTGAACAGGCCAAGCTCCCTCAGTCTCTCATTGTAAGAGGGTTGCTCTAGACCCCTGATCATCTTTGTGGCCCTCTGCTGAGCCCTCTCCAGTAGAAACCTTGTCTTTCTTGTACTAAAAAGCCCAGAAGTGAGCACAGCACTCCAGATGTGGCCTCACTAGAGCTAACTAGAGGGGGAGATCCCCTCCCTCAGCCTGCTGATGACACTCTTCTGATGCACCCCAAGATACCATTGTCCCTCCTGGCTGCAAGGGCTCACTGCTGGCTCGTGGTCACCTTGTCATCCATCAAAATTTCCAAGTCCTTCTCTGCAGAACTGCTCTCTAGTAGCTAACCCCCAGCCTATACTGGTACTCGGGGTTATTCCTCCCCAGGTGCAGGACTGTACACTTGCCCTTATTGAACCACATTAAGTTTCTCTCCCTCCCTTCCCCTCCCCTCCCCTGGTTTTTGAAAGCCTGAAGAAATCTTTTTTAAAAATTCAGCTATTTATGATCTTTTCTTCATGAATTTGTATGCTGAGAAATGATACCAGAAGAATTTGTACTCTGGTAAATTCTTAGCTATACCGATGCGTATCACAAGGTCCTCCACTAGAGGGTCCCATAACACTGGTTTAAGCAGAATAAGGTACCACTGGTAAAATTGTGGAAATTACCTTTTAAGTGCAGATTAAGTATCCAGGATCTGTAATATGTAAGAGCAGATGTGAAGAAACACACACGCACATTCGAACGCAGTGTGGTGAACCGACACAATACAGATTTAAATTCAAAGTAGTTATGGGTAATCATAAATTACAAAATTCTTCCTTTGTTTTAGAGTAGTTATTTATTTCCTTAAAGCACAAGTTATTGTTCAGCGTACGTTTGACACTGTTAATTTCTTGTCACATCTTAATGTCACATATTAATGTCATATCTTTATGATCTTTTCTTTGTTTTATCATCTGTTCAACATTTATTTCAGGCCCTGAAATCCCTCCTCCTCATTATGTAGTGTAATCTCTAGGTTTTGGAAACCAGCAGTTTTTACATACCAAGTGATCTGTGTTTCTTTATAATGTATTTGTTTCCTTCTAGAATACTAATGTGGTATTATAAAATGTTTCTGCAGATGACTTAAAATTTGATTCCATTTTAGCAATCTAAGAACAGCAGAAATCACGTGCCAGGTAAATTTATATGCTACAGAATAAATTTTGAATTTGTGCCATGGTTTAACTAAAAAGTAGACCGTTGTCAAGCAATTCATAGTAGTCAAATTAGTTTTTATCTTCTCCGTGTTTGGAAGTTATAATACTTAAGAGAGGTTCAGTGAGAAATAACATGTAACTTCTTATAAGTAGATAATGATTTTACATATTATCAGTAAAACAAAACACTTTTGTAAGAGTTGTGCTCCTATGACTGAAATGTCTATGTTTTAGCAGGAAGAATTTCAATCAGGATAATTTTTTTATCCATAAGTCTGCTTCAAGGAAATCTTTTACCTAGAAGGTGCCTTGGAAATAATCTGAGGATTAGAAAATTATGTTATCTTTTATCTTGATCCAAAGACTGCTGTGAATAGGATTCTGCTAGCTAACTGAAATAAGCTTATGCTCAAACCCTGTAATTTTTAAGGTAGTTAGAACATTACATCACTTTTCCTGTGGAAAGGCAAAATTCCACTTTTAGTACATTTTATGTTCTATAATGAAACTCTAGGACTTACAGTTGCTCAATTTTCTGTATCTTTTATCATGCCCTTCTAACTGAATCTTGATCATATGAAGGAAGGAAATTTTTTGTTTGCTTTGTGAATTTAGTTCTTGTAAAGTAAGCATTTATAATTTACTTGCCAAAATTTTCAGGCACTGGAGTGGGAAAGAGGATACAGTACAGTCTGCAAGATTGAGAAACTCGATTTCTTGGAAGAAAAGGGGGGTTATCTTTAATTTGAAACTTCTGCTGGTCAGTATACACCAGTCCTATTGGAAGACTTTCACTGAAGATTTTACGGTAGAACTGGCTGAAAAATGAGAATATTGCTTCAAAATAGATAAGAATCCAAATGTTTTACACTAAATCCAAGTTTCACATGACAAAATCTTAGCAGCAGAACCTGAAAGAATCAAATTTGAGGGTGCAACTTCTCTTCTGTTAAGAGATACTCTATAAATTTTGTCTGCCCAAGAGTATGAACATACTGTTAGACATCCTGCATGTGAAAAGGGCAAACCTGTATTATCTAGCTCAGTTTTCAGCGTTCTTTCATCAGTATTCTTTGTTTTCAGCTGTGCTTCCAATTTCATACTATGTATATAATTCTGTTTTCCTACTATTTTCTAATTTTGAGAAATAAACATTTTAAATGTACTGTTTTTCTTCCTTGAAGCTTCTATAGCACTTGTTCATTACACTAGTACTAGCCAGATGTTAATATCTAGAAATCCTGGTAACTGAAGGTTCTAAAATAACTATTACACTATATTTCACACTTTTTTTTTCTTTTTTTAGACTAATTAAATAAGATTACAGAGGGCTCAAAGGATTCCAGTAGACAAAATCTACTGGTCTGTACATTTTCAGTTAAAAGAAAGATGCATAGGTAGAAGTATACTGCATTTATAGGTCTTTATATCTAGAGTATAAGTCATTTAACTACTGAAGAATTAATGGATAAGGTATGTTGAGCTGTCTCATTTTAGATATGTTACCTGCCTGAATTGTAAGGCAGCAAGGCATGTTCATAATTATTTCTGGTTTCAAAGGATAGCAAATAGATTGAAAGTTTTGTCCATGAAAGATTAAAAAAAACCCCACACAAGAGCAAAGTGAAGACATAGGCGGATAATGAATAGTCATCCCATCTGAAAATCTGGTCACATGATGCAGGTTTACAGGTATAACTTTATAAATAAATAAATAGATTTATACTTTACATATATAACCTTATATCCATCTTTGAAAACCTTAGTGTACAGGTACAAGTTATGATGGTTCCTTGAGGACCCTTAGCTATTTGCTGTAACTTGAGCTCCTACTCCTTGGTGTTCATGGGAAATGTGGGAAGGTCTTTCAGCTATTTGGCGGTTACAACTTTCATCACATTTTCTCTGGTTTTTCTACATCAAATCAAAATGAGTAATTTTATAAGGAACAAAATAAATTGAAAGGTTTAATCTGAAGTTTTAGGAAATTTTCTGTTTATTTAATAGTTTGTCAAGGGGGGGGAAGATCAACAGGTCAAAACACGTTTGACAAAGTCTAGCATTAGTAAAGTTTGTGAACTCTGCTGCCAACAAATACTTTGATTCTTATTAAAAGAATCTTTAAATATAGAAGGATCTTCTGCTGCCTTGAAATAGGAAAAGTAATTCTGCATATTTTTCAGATTGTAATCTCTTTCTCTGAGCATCAACATCTAACTGAACTCTTGGAAATAAAAAGATTTTCTACAACAGCACTTTATTCTCTGTAATAGCTGGAGACACAACACAACCTTTTTCCATCAAAAATGTAATTAACCATATCACTGAGTTGAAGGTTCTGGAGAGACAAATCATATTTGCATTTCTGATTGAATTATTGAGACAATTTGCTGAACTTGAAGTTTAGAGCCCATATCCCATATCATATCAATTAGGTTCAGAACTGATCACAATATATACCTGTATGAGACTATATAATAGTCTCATACTATAAATTTTTAATGAAAGTTCTTCAACCTACCTAGAGACCAGTTACAAGATTAGTAGTCTTTAGGATGAAAAAAAAATTACAGTAGAGCATTGCTTTTAAAGCAGAGCTGCTACATACCTCCTGGTTGAGTATGTCTTTCGTTTCTCAGTATCTCATTTTGAGTCTGAGAGTAAATTATCTGGGTTTTTATCTAGGCCAGGAACAAAAAATCGTGGTCCATGGAGTAAATTGCACCTGTTAGCTTAATTAGTTTTGGTCATTTTGGCAGTTTCATCCTTCATTTCATATTTTTTATTTGTCAAGTTTAAATTTTGAAAGAAATAAATAAAAACTGATTTGTATGTCTGCAATATTGTTGATTTATTTCTTTGAGCTTACATTTCAAGACATACAGTTTGAAGGAGATGGGAGTGAAGGATCACATGTACCACATAGTTCCCAGAAATACAAGATATTAAATTTGACCCCATTTCTCCTCAGAATTGAAATTTTTTTACGTCTATGTATTTGATTTTGCATCCTAAATTAGATAAATATTCGTAGGAAATAAAGCCTAATCATTAGCATTTTATCAAGAAATAACCTTTTTGATGAATAAGGCCTTACAGAATTTGATGAAAAGGGTTAGTTCTGTTGTTTAGCAATCTCAGCAATTATATTTTGAGGCATATTGAAACTCAGAATTATGTATTGGTTTAGGTCATCTGAAATAAGGAAAGAGTATTCTCATTATCTTGGGATTATGCTATAGGTTGGTATTGCATTAACTTTCAAAGGCAATGCACATTGCAGAACTGCATTGTGCTGCTAGCTGTTGTTAAGCAAAAATAATGTTTTTCAGAAGTCACAGGTGATCAAGACAAATAATAGGGGAAATTGTAAGTGTAGTAAGAGAATAAAATTTTCCCTAATCTTGATTTGTTACTTCCAAGAACAGCGAATGTTGTATTTTGTATGAAAAAACCCTAAACAATAAAACCTAAATAAATACAAGAACTATCAACCAAGAGGAACTGTTTCTGAGCTTGGTTGTTATTATCTGTTGTTTTTTCTGCCTCCATTTTAGCTGAAAGCTACAGCAGAACAAATATTAGCTCTTTGAATTGAAAGCTTGCAAAACCATTTCCTACATAGTAAGACACCAAGTGTGCCTCCTGGACATAATCATATGGGAAAGTGTTTAATGGGATGATGTATTCTCTCCCTGATGTGTTCTTCCAGTCCCTCTGTTGCTCTTCTTAGCTGATGTATTTTGTTGAGCTTGGCAAAGAGATAGACATTTTCATGTCCATCTGTAGGTTACTTGTCATGTTTGGGTTGCAACAGCTTGCTGCTCTTCAGACTGGGACCAATCTGAGTGGCATGATGGAAAAATCAGAACAACTTCTTTAGGCTTCACAACACTTACTCAGGCCCCTTCATTTCCTCCTAGTTCTGTTTCCATTTCCTACTGCATATTTTACTTCAGTGGCCTAAAGATGCTGAAGAATTCTGCTGACTGACTCAAGAACATACTTAAAACTGATGTTCATGCTGCTAAGATTTGGTTTTCTACCATCCCCTTTGGGTAGTTCACAAATGGGTGGAGCTTCTCTGAGAGAAGTTTTCTTTGATGTTAGCCTAAATCGTAAGAGAAGAAACTTCACAATCATTGATCTCCTTTACGAATCTTTTACATTTTTAACACTACTGGCCTTTATATAGTCTAATTATGTTTTCTTAACATTTTATGGACAACAGCAGTATTCTTTGTGTCTTATGTAGATCTAGTATGGGTAGTGGAAATGTTTGTGCTTTTCTACTATTTTTTCTATTCTGTCATTGATTTTAAAGGAAGTCTGTTTTCAGAGGCTTTGAATTTGATAACTTTAATATTTCTGGTTTTTTAATGTTTTTGGTGTGGCTGATCGAACTGGACACTAGGGGGTGCTCTTTCATATTTTTTGTGTGCAGTCTCTCTTTTGCATGCACACATGCATAGACCCACACACATGCTGCTGCACTTATGCTGATTTAGGGTCTCTGCAAGGTCATCACTGAGTAAAAAAAAAAAGATAATATAAAGTACAGTCATGTAAACATTTGGATCTGATACATAACATCTGGCTAGCTCAGAGTGAGGAAAATCATCCTTGCTTTCAGCTGTGCCACAGGGTCATGGTAGTGATGAAGATATTCAGCATACAAAAAAAAGGCAGAATAGAGCTCTGGTATAACATGATGAAAGGTATGTGCTCACACTAGAAATCCAAAATTGCCTGTATATAATGATAGAGGAGGTATTTGAAATTGGAATCACCAATCTAAATTCACCTTAAAACAAATGATTAAACAGACCATGAAAAAAAACTTTTTTCATCAATAACTAAAACTTACACATAATCAGCTCCATGAAAATATGTGTCAGCTTGTGGGGGATCGACTGACGAGTGGTCGTAGCTGTCTTAAAAAATCTTCAGTTAACTAAAAAAGATATTATCCCTCATGTGCATTAAGTACTTATGTTAAATTGTGTGAGAAAAATATACTGAAGAATTTTGTCAGAAGTAATGTGACAATATCTATTTCTTAAAAATAGCATGGACAAATTGTTATTTTGTTTTGCACATCTCCAAGAGTCATTGAAGTAAATGCATAAGCCTCTGACTAACAGAATTAGTCAGGTGAGATAAACTATAGTAGAGGAATATAGTGTGAAGGTTTGGTATTGTATACGTTTTTGTAGAAGCAGCACATATTTTTTGTTTCCTATTTATCTACTAGAGCTCAAAAAGGCACATATTTTCCCTATTTGGATATTCTTTACATTAATCACAATCCATAACTAATAGTACCTCATAGAGTTTTAGCATTGCCCAGGGTGAGTCAGGTTTTGTTCTACAGAACCATTCTTGGTTTTGAATTTACCACCTCTCTGAAAAGGGAATGTTGTTGTACTCATATGTAAGAGTTGATCATCAGAGCATTCTTACTGTCTTCTGCATTACTACCCATTCAGGAAATCCTGGCCCTGATTCTAAAACTGATAGCGAATCACACATTACATATAGGTTTTCCAGCTTACATCTGACTTGGAATTCTCTAACTAAATTAAATATGTCTCGCCACTCTGAACTTAAATAACCATTAATGTGATTAACTCAGAATTTCAAACTGACATCCACATTCTATGTCAGTTTTAAAAAGGAAAAATTGTGTGTTTGTACCAAGGAATGATTTAGTAAGGTACTGAGGCCCAGTCTGATGACCGTACAGCTCCAGTCTTCTGCTCTTGTGTTTCATCTCTCCCACAAAGTTTCGCAGTGATGAGTATGGAACTTCCACCTAAAGGAAACAAAGCCTCTGGAAGGCATTCTGTACTACAGGTATGCTTGTCAAACTGCTGCATATGGCAGGCTGGAGAGTAAAGAAGGTGGTAATCTTACCAGCCAATAACTGGCCAGAGGGAAGAGCGATTTCTTGGCAGCTTCAGAGGTGACTAGTGTCTGACTAGATATTCAGCATTTTGGGGTGGACTCATTTTTAGTTTTCTGCTCAAGGAGTCTGGATTTACTAACTGATAATTGAGTTTCTTCAAGGCATCTTAAGTTCAAGGCATCTTAAGTAGTGACTTGAAATAAAAAAATAGTGAAATAAGGAAAACTTTAGCATGATGTGTGTTCCAGTTCTGTTCATCTTCTAAAGCCAACAAAAGATCCATCTTTGAAGAAACTAATGGCATCTTGGGAAGAAAGGATGACACTGTAAAGGATGAAGTGGAAAAATCAGATAGTAAGCATATAGTTTAGAATGAGGGTTGTTCACAAAGATATCACGTGGTTAAAAATTTGCCCAGTAAAGTACAGACTGGAAATATGTATATAAATACTACTGCTATAAGGCAACAACAAATACATAAACTGTACAGATTGCAGTCTTCATAAAGTTTATTTGCCTACCTGTGGAATATACTGCAACTTTCTCTTGCAGCCCTGTTCCCACTGATGTTTCAGCTTTTTCTAGAAAAGATTGAGAATGCCTCATTCTGCAGTAGTCATCATGGGACAAGATACGTCATATTCACCAGAATTCCATGCTTATTTAATGAAAGATGAAAACTACATTGAACCTCTGTTAACAGCTCTGTACCTGGATGCCTCTAGATGGTGCGTGCCCTGGTGGTAACTGGTGATATCCACAAAAGTTGGATGTAGTAGAAAATAAGCGTTGCACAATTATTTCATTCAGCATCACTCAGAAAAAATGTCAGCACTATGTTTATTGATGGGTCTACATCACGTTCACACAGGGAAAAAGCCACACAGTGGCTGAATCTGGTAGGCAGCTCAGTATCTTCAAGGAGAGAGACTTCACCATCTCCCTGGGCAACTTGTGCCAATGTTTGATCACATGCACGGTAGAAGTGTTTTGGGGTTTCTTTGCCCCTACATTTACATGGAATTTCCTCTGTCCTCTTCCCTGTATGATATTAGCAAACACTGGTGAAGTCCCTCTGAGCCTTCTCTTCTTGAGGTCAAAGACTCCCTGCAGTTTCACCCTCTCCTTTTATGACAGATGGTCCAAGCCCTTCATCATTTTCAGGGCCCTTTGCCAAGTTGTGCTGTCCATTACGTCTGTGTTTCTCCTGTACTGGGAAGCCCAATGCTGACACAGTAGCCAGATGGGTCTCACCAGTGCTGAGTGGAGGGGAAGGATCACTTCACTTGGCCTCTGGCAATGCACTTCCTAATGCAGCCCAGGAGGCTGTTTGGATTCTTTCCACTGGAGCACTTTGATTGTTCACGAGCAGTTCAAATCCCCAGAATATTTTCTGACAAGGCACTCTCCAGCCAGTCAGCCTCAAGCGTGTGCTGGTGCTTGTCCTTATTCCTCAACAGGAGAATGGCTTGCCACTTATGTTTTGTTAAACTTCTAGAAGTTCCAGTTGTCCTGTCACTTCAGCCTCTCAGGTCTTTCTGGATGGCAACAAATCTATCTGGTCTACCACTTCTCCAAGTCTGTATCACATGCAAAGTTGCTGAGTGTGCACTCTGGCTTACCATCTAGATCATACAGGAACACAGTGAATATTGTTGGCCCTAGTATTCACCCCTGGGGTACTGCTATGCATCCTGTCCCCCCACTGGACTTGGTGGTGCTGATCACAACCCTCACCAATTTAGTAGTTTTCAGTTCACCTCACTGTCCACTTATCCAGACCATAGTTCATAATTTTTTTTCTATGAGAACATTCTAGGAAAACTCTGTAATTGAATTTAACAGAAGTTTCTTGTTGCTGGCGGTGATGTGTTTTACTTTAGTCTTGATAAGACTGTGCTATACATCATCTATTTTAGAACGTCTTCTGAAACACAGAAGCTAGAAAAAATTACTTTGTTATTTAAACTCAAACCTGCTAATATGGCAATCTAATTTCTGTACTATCCAAGAAATTGACATTCCTATGTACTTTGATATGGAAAAATAAGTAAAAGCAGACCAGTTAAGTTTCCAGCAAAGTTAAGATACAGAAGCTCTTGGTTTTTCTTAACTTTCTTTCACAAACAGTTGTTAATTTTATTTTCTTAAATTACTGGATTAAAACAACAAGCCAACAGAAGAGTAAGAAAATTCACACTGAAATGGGGAAAGCAGTATTTTAAAACAGATGTTTATGGAAGCCACAGTATCTGTAGGCTCCAGAGGTATCTGCAGCGCAGTTTATCAGATGGCACAAGAGAAAATGCTTAAAATGTGAGTTGTTTGGCAAAAAATGAGATGACAAGAGGATTTACATGTGTGACAAAATAGCTTTCAGGATGCAGACTGAACAGACAAAAATCCATACTGTGTTTTACGTTTCATAAGCAGCAATGTTTTGCACAGCTGTCTTAGCTTTCAATGAACACTGTAAAAATATTATTTTCAAGATGTAGTGGTACGTGCAAACCCTCTGTCATATTTGTTGTATTGGTGCTAGGGGAAGAGGTTATCCATACTCAAATGCTTCCTCTCTGTTCCCTGATGGCTTCTTTACTTTGTACCATCTGCTGGTCACTGAGCCCATTTCTACAGTGGATAGATGATACATTTCAGATGCCTGCCTTCTCTTTGCCAAGGCCAAGCACTGGCACGGTCTAATTGCTAGTCTGGTTGCTTTCTTGTTGCCTTTGGAAAGCTGTGCTCTCACTGAGGTTCTTGTGGTTGTTTCCATCAGGCAGTGTGGTCTCTCTCAGAGGCACAGGCATGCCAGACGAGTCTTTTTGAATGCATGCCAGTCCTCTTACTCGGGATATGAAGCCAAATATCGTATATTTAAAACTGTAATGCTTTGCTTGTCCACCTAGCTCTTGTCTCCTAAAGTCATTGGTTGTGGGTTTACTTCACTGCTAAAATACTCTTCAGTTTTTTTCCTCTCTCAGCTCTACCTATTTTCAACTCATTGTTTACCATACTGTGTGTAGGTAAAATTGAGAGATTCTGCTGTTCTATTTAAGATCTTTTATCTTTTTATTATTCTTATGTTATAAGGAAATAGAATATGTTTCTTATTAAATGTGAAATGCTGTTTAAATAATATTTAGAAGCTGTCATAAATCAAGTAAAGCCAAGCTACTTTAACATTCTAGTTCTAGCAAGTGACTGTACACCATAGTGGAAAATGAAAGCTAAACAGTGCTGGGTATTTCTTAATATGTTACATTAATATTTCTTAATATATTAAATTATTGGTTCTTTCAAGATTTTGATGCTAATTTGCATACAATTTTTCCCTAATAAAGTGCACATGTCAACAATGATGGATCAGGGAAGGCAGGACTTGGCCAACATCAAAACTGGTCATGTGAGACCAGAGTCCTGACTCTCATCCCCCATACTCTAAATCTCCCAAAAGCTAAGTCATCTTCTCAAGCAACAGATAGAAAATATTTGAGGTGAGGTGAGAACAACAGAGTCTGATAATTTTCTCTTTGGGCTTTCTGCTCTGCTTGAAATAAATTGTCAGTCAGACTGCAATGAGACTTTTCTGTTAAATGAAAGCAATCCAGAACAGATAGATATATTCTGGTCTTGTGTAGCTCACTACATATCCAGCACAAGTAGCCTGCTTTATTTTAACTCCAACTATGTTTCCTAAAGTAATCTTGATTTTCAAGACTGAGATATTCAAACAGCTACAACCGAAGGAATGTCTGCAATTACAATCAGTCAACACTGTTTCTTGTAATACTGCGAAACTATTTCACTTCAGCAAATTGATTCCTGGACAAAGAAATTAAATCTCTCACAATTGTCTCAAATCTGGTTATCTTAGGAATTGAGCAAATAGTTTAGAATATTTATATATTACATCAGTCAGAATAATTTACTTCTGTTTCTCTTTTGAATGCTTATGTAATGGCTGTTTGTTTTTTGGGTTATGTTTGTTGGTTGAGGGTTTTTTTTCCTTACATATTCCTATGTTGAATAAAAGGGAATAGACTTTTCTCAGTCTACTAAGGGTGACACAGTTAGATAATACCAGAGACTGTCATATTTCATTATCTGACTTAGTTGACCTTAATGAACTCTGGCAAAAAAATCTGTGTAGCAGCAGCACTCTTGGATATTTCCTATCATTTGGGTCTAGTTTAATTTATTTCCTTACCAGTGCCTTTCTTATTCTAACAAGTAGAAAATATTCATGTACCGTATCCAGATATTCACATATATACCATGTACTCTTGTAATAAACTACCATGATAAATGAAAACTTACTGAGACACTCAGTAGACACAGAAGCAAAGACTACTGAAGGGGTCAAGAAAAAGAATGGTATGTTGATAAAAACTGTTATATGCAATTTATGTTTCACCATTGGAGAGTACAGAGACTTCTGTTATCAAGATAGCAAGGTCACCAATTCTACCCTTTTATCAGCAGTGAATAATTTAAAAGAAGAAAAATGGATGAAGATTGGTCTGTGACTAGGACTGCTATCAAACTAGCAGTGAATAAAAACAGAAAAAAGGCAGCAACCAGAGAGAGAGATACAGAGCTGGGATGCAGTTTGCCTACCAATAACTCCTTTAAACGTACAAAGAAATGTGGTAATGCATAGCCCTAATTCTTAGTAACTTTAGCCCACTTAATCTCTAGCGAGGAACCATTACGAATTGTCTAAGTGAGCTGGAAGGTATTGTCAAAAATTTTACATATATGTATAAAAAGTCATTATTCATTCTGCATTTCCTTCTAAACAAGGGACTGGCTGGTATATTCTAAGCTTAATGCTTTTTCTGTACCTATGACCTAAGCTAAGAAACTTGTAAATTACTTGGTTTAGGATACATATTGCTGTTAATGCTAACAGCACTTTGAAAATGTTAAGATAATAGGTTAAGAATGTTGAGATCAGGAAAAAAATTAATGATGCTATTTCAGCATAATGTTATTTTATAGTGAAGAGTTAAAACTGTATAAGAAAGTCTGCTTTGAACATACAGATCTCACTTTGATTAATGGTGTCACATATCATTTGCTTATTCTCAAAGAAGAAAAAAGCGCCTTGAACTGACAGACAGTAAGATAAAGAATTTACTGCTATATTTACTTTTACTAAGGAAATTCTGTTTCAAAGAACTAAAGGGCTTAGTTGAATCAGTTACCTTCCTTTTGGAGGAAGTTTGTAATAGTTCTCTAGTCAGTTTTTTACACTGCCTATTTCAACAAATTGTTTGATTTACTGATTTACTCTGAAATTTTCTTAGTATTCCTGTAGCTGAATTGGTATTTTAAAATAAAAAATTCTTTTTAACTGTAGAATCTGGAACAAAGATAACATGAGTTTTCAACTTCGTTACATTGACATCTGTTTTGAAGGCCTTACATGCAGTGAATATTTAAAATGTTGTCCCACTTTTTGTTCCTTCTCTTAGTATCAGAGCTGTGTTACTGGTTTTATACATAAGGAAAAAATGAGAAGATAACTGCATAGGTGTATTATATGACTTCAAAAGCATTTTTTTTCTAATAATGGGTGCTCTTGGCTCCTGATTTATCAAACACCTGCACAGTGTTTGCAGTACATTGTTAGTCTGTATTACTTTGTACTAAGCTTTTAATGTGTGTATGGAAAGTAACTGAAAGTACATCACTGTTCTTTGCTGATCAGGTGTACCTCTGTAAAGGCAAGGACTTTATTCTGAAACTCAGTGCAGCCCTGTAACCAGTGGAGTATTTGTGCCCATTACAACTTTAAGGAGTCTTCTTTTTTGTCTTATACTCTGTTGAACACTTACATTGTGATGTTCAATGATAAACTTTACTAAAGATTAGGAAAGTACTTCAATAATAAGAATGATATGTGGTATATCAAAATCTATGGCATTATGCCCTTGTCAAGCTATTAGTAACTTTGTGACTAAGATTTTTTCCCTGGGACTATTTACTATCCTATTTGAACATGTTGCTTATCTTGTATTATCAAAGTGGCAATGCTCTTGTAAATACATGACTTTCAAGAATATCAGTGTCAAATGTGTTCTTTATCAAAGGGCAGCCACAGGTCTGAGAGGTCAGACCATCTGCACAACTCACTTTGAGATTGCCTGTATAGTCTTTCAAATGCAGTTTGAGTAAGAGAGATAAGATTCCAAGAAACAGAGGCGCTGGCACTGGGGAGCAATATTTCAGTACTAATCAGGTGTATTTAAGACTGTTGGACTAGCCAGGTGTAAGGGGGGTACTTTTGAATTAGATGATCAGTGGAGCATAGAGGCGTGAGAAAGAAATCATATTAGGATGTGAAACCAGCTAGAGTATGGTACAATGTGACTTCATGCCACAAGCTAATTGTAAGGTCCATTGTGCTTTTTAGCAAGTCAGCCTGATATCCCCTCTTATCAGAGCTGAGTTCTTCTTTGGTTTTGCTACACGCTGCAAGACAGATACATCTACCCTTGAAACACAATGGTAGAGGTCATACATAGGGGTGAGAAAGATGATGATGGGAGGAAGATTATGTGGGCAGGGGTCGCTGGCCCCTTGCCCTACAGTAGGGCATGCGCAGACTGTTGCCATTAGGTAATGATTAGGCAGTGTTTGGCTGCCATTCAGGCATCACCTTATACTGTGTACTGGCCCTACATAGTGTAATGTGGAACTGATAAAAATGGGGTGTCAGCACTGCTGAGCTGAGCGATACTCATCCTACCACCGAGACTGTGTTGCTCCACGGGGATGCCCACTAAGCATGGGTACCAACCAGCTGCTGCAGATCCTGACAGCCCTGGCCTGTCTGTGTGGGTAAGCAGAGTTTGTTGATAGGAAGCAACCGAGAAAGCAAACTTTTTAATATCCCTTTAGTGTTCCTTTAATTCCCCTTTTATTATTGAATATTGTTACATAAATAAGTTGTTCACAGTATTTCCCTTTAATTTCTCTTTTTACTAACCAATATCATGTTAATAGTTATCCATAGTATTGTGTTAAGATCCTTTTTTGGTATCCCTTTAACCCCCTTTTCACTAGTTAATACTGTATTAAATGCTGTTCGTAGTATTTGTTTTAATGCTACCCAATAAGGTAGTTATTTTGTATCCTTTTTTAGTTTTTAATTCTTTTTGCTAAGTTTATTATCATTATTATTCTTACTGTAATAAAAGATATTTTGTGTGTTTGAATGTTTCTGGCACTTGTTTTTATTCCAGACATGTATCCAAACGAACTTGTTACACCAGGGTGTGGAAAGCAAATGAAAAACTACCAGAGGATACTCATGCCTCTCTGAGGCCAGTGTGTATATCATTGTGAAGACTGTGTTAAAACCAGAATAAGAGTTCCAAATTTGTAAAGACAAAAGGGTGCCTGAAAACATATATGCTTTTTTTATCAGATAATCCCTCCATGTTTGCAATCCACCAGTCTTTAGTGCCTGATGGCACTTACTCTATGGTCAGTTGTATTAGAGAAAAGCTTCTATAGGTCGTCAGATGTTTTATTCATCAAATAGTCTACATGTGCTCATTCATGTAGCCAGGGAGAAAGACAGCAAATACACCTCTCCATAATGAAGATTAGTTTTGTTTGTAAACAAAAAGATCTTTTGATGTCTGTTGTGGTTTGAGAGCCCCAAAATCCAATTCTCGAGTACAAGCCCCCCTCCCACAACTCAGAGCAGTGTGAGATGGGTTTTCCAGACACAAACACGAAACTCAATATGGGGGGAAAGGGAATTATATTACAATGACTATACAGATAATATTACAATACATCACATACATAATCGTAACTATCTCTCCTATGATAAATCAGTATTTACAATGGATCAATCTCTTCTCCCTTCAATAAAAGTCCAGAAGGGAAAAGGAAAGATTCTTTCCACTCTCAGAGCAGCAGTCTCTCTAGGGCAGTAGTCTCTCTTCCTCCATGCAGCACCTGTAGCTCAATCTCTTTTCATTACGCATGAGAGGGGGTCTCCAAGCCCCTCTCGGCCCTTCAACTCCAAGCGAGGGTCTTTCTCTTCTGTGGGCTGTGTTCGCCGGGACAAAGGTCACTTCACCACGTCATATCACGAAGTGCAGGAGTCTTTGTGACGATCCCTATCCTCAGGGGATTCAAATTCCCTTACAGAGCTCCTGTGCTCTGTCTCAGAGCAGCAGGGGGGCGAAGCCCTCCTCCGCATTCTTTCTGACCATCCCAGTCTAGCTTTCCAGGACACATGAGCTTCTCAGCTCCTCTCTCTCCGGTGCATGCTGCTTTTTAGGACTTCCATCAAGTGGGAGTCCACCACCCCTCCTCTCTAGGAGGGGTCTCCAAGGAGTTTGGGGAGTTTATTTCAGTTCTTACCCAAACTCTCTCTCTCTGTAGAGCTTAGTCCTGCTCTGTCTCCATCAGACATTTCTCTGTGTCTCTCCTCCTTGGCTGCAATGCCGGCTTTGCTGTATCTTCAGTTCTTATCTCTTGGCTTTCAGCCATAGCCTCTGTTCACTGCTGTTTCTGCTGCTGCTTTTCAGTATTTCTTGTTGCTGCTCATGGTGGAGAAAAAACTCCCAGCTTCTCAGCTACTGATAGCCCAGTCTAACACTGTTCCAAGTCCCTGTAGCCCCCCAGCCAGGGGCTGGGGGGGGGCCAGCCCCCAGTGGGGCTCCGGGCCCCTTCTCCTCATGGCCTGAGAACATGGCCACCTCTCCAACAACAACTACAACATCACCTTCTTTTCTGGTCTGCTTGTGATATGTTTATATTTTGCAGGAGCACTGATTGAGTCAACCTCAAGAGAGACACCACCCCCTCAGGCATTACCACTTTTTATAACACCCCCACCACAATGTCAGTCATCAGTATCTTCCAAACTACTGTAATATTTTCATAGCAACCACACTGGACCACCTTGGCCTCCTCTGTATGATGAATACAGATGCTTACCTCTTTCCTAATTTTTTAGAAGCTCTCTAATTTTAGCCATCCTACTAGCCTTCTCCATCTTTATTTTTCAGTTTCCTTCTCTAGTTTCCAGCTTCCTTTAAGTGACTGGAAGCTCTGTCCTCTGCCTTCCAAGACTCGGCTCATGTGTTTTCCATGCTTCTTTACAGGGTAGTTTCAAAGACACAGGATAATGAGACTTCTAGTGAGTCTTTGCCCTTCACATAGGGTTTGCAATTCAGTTATATGTGTTTGGCTACTGAATCTGTGATGAGGCATGTTAATCACTCTTCCTAAGTGCTCTAGTTGTATTAATATTTATTATTTTTTCTTAAGAGAATGCTAAGGATGTCAGGCTCCCATGGTCAAAGGTATTACAATATTTCAAAATGATCACAGAAATATTTTCTTCCTTTAAATTGCAATATGAGATTTACCCTTGCAATTATAGTAATATGTGGATTGAGTTAACCAAAATTACCTTTAAAATTGCAACATTTGCATATTAAAATATTATTTAAGGGTCTGTTAGAAAGGCTTGGAATTCTTGTATTTCAGGTCTATTAAGTAACATTAAATTCAATATTGGAAACAAAGGAATATGTAAGAAAATCTCACTCCTTTAGAGTGTCCTTCTAAATTCCTTTTAGAATTTATTTGATAAATTCTAAACTGTGCCTGAATTATTTTCCTGTATAACATGTATTGTAAAGAACAGATGATAGCAGTGCATAAAGGTTTGATTGTTGCTTCTTTGGGATAACCTGCGCAGTCAGCTCATGATTTGTCACTTGGGAGTTCTTGTGAACTTTTTGAACTTGTGCTGTGCCATCATGTGTCTCTCTGTGATATTTATTTTTTGTATTTTTTACTCTTGCATAAGAAACCTGCCAACAAAAATCTGACCCACTGCTTTATGTGGTTGATTAACTGCCATGAGTTACTGTCGATAGCTTCTCTAGGGAGAGCTGTCTAACTCTGATGAACATGAAACATTAGCTCAGCACGTGCTTCTGTTCCCATCCAGAGTGAACTTTATGATATCTCATGTTCCAGCTGCTCTTCAATCTTTTGCATGTTGATCTGGGGTGACCTGTAAGAATTTTGAATGTAGCTCTCATTAAAGCCTTCCATCAGGTGTGTTTTCATCACCTTGTGGGTAGTTCTAGATCTGAGGGATTCCTTCAGGACTTTGCTTTTCCTGAGTTTATGGTATGCTGTAAACTGGCAGAACAAGTTTCAAGTGCATCTTCTGGAAAGCAGCTCTTCACTGTTATTGAACTTTAGAAGTCTCAAATGTGCAAGTTTGTAAAGTGAGTCAATAAAACTTATACTGCTGTACTGCAGCCTCTTACTAGAAATGCATATGGTATTGGTGAAAGCAAGGGAAACATCAGGGAATTTTAAAAGCAAGGGTTTTCCATGTTTAAGTGTGTCACTTGCAAAATCTCAGTCTTTTTAATCCAGAGTGGTTTCTGCTTAGAAACCAAATTTGCTCTCCAACCCTAAACCAAATGTTCAAGACTGAAAATAATTTCCTGAAGGCACCGGAGTTCTCTAGCTCATCTGAATTAATGTTTTTCATAATTAAAAAAACCACAATGGTAGCTGTAGCAGGGCACTGGGGAAATAATATTACATAGATAGGATTGTTTTAGTGTAGATGTAGTAATCTATTTTTTTTTCAGAAGGCACAAAAACATTTTAAAATTTTGGTGCATTTTCTCGGTCTTTTCTTCTGCCTAAAAGCTGAGGAAAACTGAAAAAGATGGACAATTTTCTTTGAATAATGATGGCTCTCTGTTACCTTAGTATCTCTTCTTCCATGGTGCCTGAGTAATAGAAATCATGTTTGCAGCTTTAGTGTTAAATTTACTCATGCTCCTGGGAAGGTCTGTCAGTTGCCTGGCATCTTGTATGGGTTTTACAGAGCTCCTTATCTGGGTAGGAGAGTGTGGATAGCACAAAGCAGTCCATCCTGGTCCCTCGAGGCATGCCCTGGTCCATGGGCAGCAGATGTTTTCTAGGCAGTTCATGTGCAATGTGCCAAGTCAAGTCTCTTGCAACTGCTCATTGAGAAACAGCCAGAACATAAGGTGATCTGCCTTTCTCTTAACATTTTATCCACTTCCCTTGGTAAAGTCTTTTTTTGCCTAGGAAGTTTCATTCTTGCATCTAGGCCAGGGTCCTGTCATCTTTAGAGTCAGACTGCTTGGAACAGGGTCAGCGGGGCCTGTCAACAGCAGCTACATGCCAGACAAGATATCATAACCAAAATCCTGTCTTGTAGGTGCAGATGACAGGAGCGTAATTGTGTTTGACATGCTACTAAAAGAGGAGGGAGGCAAGACACAGAACACTGCTTTCCCTTCTCTTAGTGCTTTATTCACCTCCTCACTGCTTCTAATGTGCTCTGTTAACGGATCATTTTAGGTTGCTGACATAATGGGAGCCCTGGGGAATTAGTCTGCATGAGATGCAAGAGGCCGCTTCTTGGTAATGTATTAGTCATTT